GGGAAATATCCGTAATCGGATATGTAAAGGCTGCTACTGGGTTATAAAACAGGCTACGAGGGGCCACTAGGGCTGATTTATCAACGCTAATACACAGTTGACGTCTGGTTCTCATAAATTTCAACGTGTTTTCCCTGGGCCAAGCCAGCATCCTTCTCCTAGCCACAGGCAAGACGACCGGTGGCTGCAGGGAACAGAACGGGCTAAAGACTCCAGTAAAGTATATAGATAGAGCAACATGAGATGGCAGACACTTTAAAGAGGTGAAACATATATTCCTTCAGGAACACTGTAAAATGCGGCCAATCTCAGCCTACAACAGTGATACAAACAATATAGAAACTGAAAGCCAGCAGGTACTCTTATTTGCCAACACAGACAAACGCAAACAATAAGATGGGATCTCATTTGATCCTTCAAAATTCATGCAATATTTGCAACTTAAAGAGCCAATAAGCTCTTCCATAATAAAGCGAATCAATAATGTGAATTTCAATAGGTGCAGTCAATAGGCATTACCCCAATGGGAGAGCGCTCCTCGCCCTTAAACTGTTCAGCTAAAATTAAAAAGCACCCCCCAGACTGCCCGGAGTGACAGCGCTTGAATGCAAGCCATCCCCCACCTTCATTTGACTTTCTCAGCCAGAGAAACCAGTTGGTTTATGTCACTCCAGACTGAAGCCAAAACGTAAGGCTCTTTGGATGGCCGGGAAGTTTAGACTCAGCCAAAGCTTGGGCCCAAGATAATAAACTAACACAGATGTAGCTGTTTTAATCAAATCATGTCATAGGGTTCCGCTCACAAAGCGTACCTCAAGTACATTTTGAACCTCACTGGCATTTCAGTTTATAAACTGTAAAAACACTGTATTTGCATAAGAAAGGGCCCAGGAAGGAAGGAAAAATTAATAATAGTAGTCTATTATTTTGCAGGTATAATACCTGTAGAACAATTTGGCTTAGCTTTCAGGTAACATGGGTTTGTAAATCCTTCTTGTTTCTGTAGCAAAACAGATAAACTACATGGTAAGCCTGCTATTTGGAAAAAAAAAAAATCTGTGATCCAGGCTCTTGCAGGTGCTGAGTAATGGCAACTCTCCTGAAATCAATAGCGGCTGAGAACTCAGCACTCCCTTGGATCAGGGCCTCACTGCACAGCCTTAAACGTCAGGGCAGCGTAAATTGTCTGCTGGAAAATCAGCGCGGAGGCGTCTGAGGCTCTTCCCTGTCTGCACTCCTCTGCCTCATCCGCCTCTCTTCCCACGCGCACGCACATGGAGAGGCAACAGCACCCAAGCACACGCTCAGGGCACCCTCATTAACCTCCGGTTAGGAAGTACTGCCTGCGGCACATTACTTTCGGCATTCTGCAAAGCAGCACGCTGCTTTTCTAAAGAAACAAATTAAAAGGCAACTCACTGAGCAGTTCTCCAACACCTGAGAGCAATTAATGTAAGCAGAAACAGGAAACATCATCAATTATTTAAAATAAAATGAATATGCAACGTTGACCTTTTCCAGCACTCATCAGTTTTATACCTCCACCTGAACAAACTCAGGGGAAACAAAAGCACCAGGCAGCTTTACACTACAGACTATAAAAAGGCAGCAAACGGTACACAGGAAGAGTACTGTCTGTCTCTACGGTTGTCCTCAGCATTTCTAGTCTGTAGCTGGGCACGTGAGACCCAGCCTGTCGATCCCGCAGCTTCGATACGTGCACTCTTGCCTCCTACGTTTCGAAATCCTATTTTCTTTTTTGTGCGTTTCAGACTTCCCTTGTCAAATAAAGCAGGCCAGACTTTTCAGGCTGTGCGCAAATGATCAAAGAGCAGTAGAGGTTTTCTGTGAGTTGTCACTCCCTGATTTTAAAAGCGAGGCATCCGTAAGCCATGCTGATTTGGACAATACAGAGAAGGGGGTTATAAGGGCTCCAGAGTAGCTGGTTTCCAGAAATTCATGTATTTTTTTGAACTTAGAACTGAGGGTCTTGGGGAAAACGTTAGAGCCCAAATACTCTCAAACCTCATTGTCACAGCCTTGGGCCCAGGCAGAGGGGATTTCGAGGCAACGTGGAATTTATTAACTAACGCAATTGCTGAACGTAACGTGCTGCAGGAGGAGGAGGAGGGTATTTGGCACACTAACGGCTAAAGATTTTCAGAGCAAAACCTATTAGGCACAAAGTACAAAAAGTCCTTTGTGGCTGCTCAGGCTAAACAAGGCTCGAAGTGCTGGTGTCTGTTCCCCCCCAAACTTCTATTAGTAGTTTCAAGGAAACTCACAGGAGTGCTTCGTGCAGAGCTTGCACTAGCTCATCTGCTTAAAATCTTCCTGCAGATACCCTGAATCTTTGACTAATTGAATCAGACCAAGGGCTGTATGGCATTACCGTGGAAGCAAAGTAGATTACCAAACTTCAGGATCAGATTCATACTATTATTTCTATTTGGGTGCTATTAAGGATTTTTCAGACTTTCCATCATTAATATTTTCTTCCCGTTTCAGAAGAATAGACCCGTAAAAAGTGGCAGGGAGCCAAAGAATGGCCTACAGGATGTCAGCACGGATGCTATGAAGAGAAGAAGCGGTGTGTTAACAGCTGAGTTTGAAAAGAACAGTAAATAAATTATGCCATGTACTGTTATGGGTTTTACTTATTTATTTATTTACTATAGCTCTGTAGCTCCTAATGACTTCATTAATAAGAAGTTTTGAATATGAAATGTCTTCCATAACACCTAATTGCCTTTTGGAGGAGGAGCAAACCTGAACTATTTCTCTCTGAAGAAACCTGGTATTAGTCTTATAGGTGCCAAATTCGCAACCGGCAAAGAAAAATACTTTTTTGCGCCATCCAGGTGCTCGCAAGGCTTCTACAGCCAGGGTGCAGGAGTGGCCCCGCAGAGGCAAAGGCGGAGGGTAGCTCTGGCAAGAGCTCAGAGGCAGAGAAGGAGAGCAGCTCTCCCGGAGGCACAGAGCAGCTGCGGGGGCCGGGCTGGCATGGGCTGCGCTGGGTTAACTTTCTTCCTCCAGTGACTGGAGATCTGGTTTCTCCAGCCGCCCTGCAGTTGGCCATGTGGCACGATCCACATTAGGGTTATCTGCACGTTATCTGCACCCAAAGGCCATTAGGATCATGGGTGCCATGGGGTGGCATGCCTTGGCATGGTCTTTCAGCTCCTGGCAACCTGTGCGTGCCGTTTCCCTTAAAGCACTTGTAGGAAGTGCTATTCTTCTCGTTCCACAGAAGAAACGAGGGTTTACGTACGCTGCACAGGGGCATCAGCTCAGCTCAGCAGGGCCAGTCAGCCCAACTGCAATGCCATGCCTATAGATAGACTCCTTGTGGGACTAGGCTCATACGTTGCCTGTGCTGTACGGGAGAACAAGCTTTAGGGGCTGTGAACCATCACCGATTCAATGGGTTAGGCACAGCTGGAAACACACAGGTATAAGGACAGCTTTGCAAAGGAAATATTTTAGAGTCTAAAAATACAGATGTGTCCAAAAAAATGAGACCCCTAACTCACGCTGAAAGTCAGGTACGTCTAAAAAAATTCTTAAGCATCCTAAACATCTTTTTATAAATATCTTTAAATTACTTGACCCGGTTCATACAGCCTTTGGCAAAGTGAAGGATCAAAGCTAGCATTTTAGCCCTCTAATCACTGAAGAATCCTTCCTCAGTGCCAAAAAATATCTCTGCAGCAAAGACTGCAGCAGGATTCAGAAGAGATTAGATATTTATATAGATATTAAAATATGCTTACTTGTAAAAGTAAGTGCTGAAAATAAGAACATTAGAAGGACTGTAAATTCTCACAGTTCAGGACTTAATTCAGTCTCCCATAGAGCAGAAGCGTTCACTCAGAGCAGGTTTGTCGAAAGCTTGCAAATATAACATTTACTGAACCTTTTGAAAAATCAGCTGGCATTGCCCATTATTAGTGACAGATAAAGAACTACAGAGAGGAGTGATACCAAGAATAGAGTCTTAATTTTCAATATTTGCATGCACAGATTTCAAGAGGTGTTCAAAGCATAGTACCCAGAGTCACGGGGTTACTGGGAGGAGATGATGGGTAGACCTTGCCACTGACCACAAAATTAAAAATTCCCTGAGTGAATGTTGCAATTTCAGAAAGCCATTATAAACTGTTAACCAACAAATGCCTTTTTATAATGCACATTTATATTTTTATATAACAAACAGCTCTGTTTACATGTTAAATACATTTACTTATCTATAATGGATCTCCTGCCTCCTCTTTCTTTCTTATTCAAATAAGAATATATTTAAAATATATTCAAATATATTTTAAAATAACATAGCATTTAAATTAAAGCCAAAATCTTCTCCCATGCTCACACCCCTTAAAACTGTAAAAGTCAGGCTGATCCCCTCCCAGGAACTCTCATCAATGCTTTTCTGTTTTCCAGTCAACCAAAGGCTAATTCAAAAGCACAAACCAGAACAGTCCAGAGAAACTGTGGTGAGAGCTCAAAACCGTGTATAAACTCTAATCCAGCTGTTAATCCTATGTAGAGTCACTCTGTAGGAACAGTCCCATGCCTCACACCATGACAGGCGTTAAGAGTTACTCTGAAGGCTGGAGCCACAGTGGCTGGGACAGCTACACACCATCATGGCAGAGGTTCTCTAGGTTAGATGTTATGGACCTTCCTTCTCAGCCCAACCCTATTTCCTTATAGTCAACAACCAGGGACTGAATCACAGTCCGAGGCCATGCACGCAAGCAGAGCAGAGGCCTTTGGTGCCACGTGGATATTACTCATGGCCATCCGTGAGCCTTTGACATGCCCAGGCATCACTCAGAAACCTCAAGCACAACAGCCACCTACAATCTCAACAGCCAGAAGTTCTCTCCTTCCTTCTTCGTACATACATACCAACTGCCATTGAAGCTAATATTTTCAAAAAGGTCTTCTAACAATGTTATCTAAAATAGAGAAGAGTAAGTTTAGGCTGGACTTACCTAAACCAGTCTGGACTGAGGGAATGTGATTGCTTTTCTGAAAGATGTGCAGCAATATCTTCAGCCAGGCTGCTAATAAAAGATAATAATGATGTGTTAAATGTCAGCCTCATCTGCTGTAAAAGTAATAGCAGCACCGTCCTACTACAGCAGAATAATTCTATACCAAATATTTACAATCCCATCAGCATAAGGAGTTGAAAGTTAACTACATGCAGAGTTTATAGTATGGTACACAATACCTTTGCACTCCAACAGGGTGTACATATTTGTGCAATTTTTATTCTCTCTATCTTTAGGAATGGGTCTAAGTCATAAGTAGGGTAAACAAAATTGTTCTGACTTTGAACAAAACATGGTAAACTCTATGTTTTGAGGGAGGCATGGAAGACAACAAGGGACAGCATTAGATTTCAGACAATTGTTAGCTCATTTACGTCTTAGGCATTTCCATATTTGATAGGAGAATCTGGTACGGTTTAAAGACCTTACATAAACTGTGTGCTTTCTGGAGACATGGCATAAAGCATGACTTGCCTGATTCTTTGGACAAACTATTCCCATAAGCAAAGTGCCAATTATTATCTGTTGAAAGATACAGTTTTAGGTCCATTTATTTTTTTATTCTTTTTGCTTCTTGCATGTTTCTAGAAGTTTACATGCTAATGTTCATTATAACTGAAACAGGAACTATGTTTTTAATATGTCTGTGTCTCATACTTATGTTTTGTTTAGCTGTCTTCACAGTGCATTTTATCATATTTATATCCCAATATTATTACTAACAAACAACAGTGCATTCCAGGGAAATCATTTCAGTTTCATAAGAGCAGATAGAAATAGATACTGCCTATTACGGTAATCAAAATCCTCTATTCTACACATACCAAATGACTGCCAAAAAAACCCCTCAGTGCTATGCAGTGGCATGATGGTTATGTGACATTATTACATTAGTGTTCCACATAGCCACTAGAAAAAGTAGAAATTGCCTCACAGTTAGAAATTCATCTCTCCCAAAATTAAAAATTTTGAACAAACGCTGCCATATAGAAGCATTCCAACCATCTTCACAATTAGCCTAAAAATAGAGACGCTATTAGGATATTTTTTATTTTGGAAAACTCAATCTGAGTCAGATTAAATAAATCAAGTAAGTGTCAAATTTCAAACACAGGTCCCTTTCTAGAGAAATTTCTAACTTAAAAAAGTCTTCATGATATACCGCCCAGCATTTCTTCTGACTTCTGAGATTCTGCTCTGCCCAGCTGCATTAGAGCTGCTATTATGTCAATAAACGTCCAATACTCTTAGGGAGAGCAGAAAATGAATCAATTCTGCCAGGCAAAACTTTCGAGAGCAATTCTGCTTCGAGTCAGACTTGTTGTTAGCAGTGTCTTTTCTTAATCGGGATGATAGACTGATCTCCAGGCAGCTCCAATTAAGAGGATTCTCCTGCCTTTAGAACCTATACGTAGTATTTTGAAACTCAAAGGCAATAGCTTAAGAATTTATTACATATCAAAGCTGCCGAGTATAACTTTAATATGGGAATTAAATGATTTCCTCCCAAAAGTCCTTTGTGGAGCTTAAATGCCTGCCTGTCTGGTTTGTCTTTTTTTTTTTTTCTTTTTTTCTGAGCTAATAATTTCCAACATGCCCTTTGCCCTAGATCCTTGAAATTAAACAAGGATGGCATTTGTCAGCAAGTTTCTCGAGTCTGCTACCTCTCATTGCATGAACTGTCATCTGAGGAGGTACATTTAACTTGTGAAAAGGTCATTTCTCTACTAAGAAGCGAACTTGGTATTTTAGATGATTTGTGCCTTGATCTACATTCTGTTTTACTCTACAGAAATAGGTAGCACATGCATATCTGTATCTATAGCTCTGTATGCGTCTGTGTGCATATATATGTGTATATATGTATATCTACAAATGGAAACTTTCAGAAAAAAGAGAGGAGATCTTAAAATGAGGGCCACTGCAAATAAGTCTTCAATCTTCATTAAAGCTGGTCCCCAAAGGGTCATGTCATGAGGTGCAAGAGCAGTGGTGGGCTTTCTTCGTCCTGCCTGTACCAAGCTGTTCTACCATGCCACCAAGAATGGCTAGTGGAAATTAAATTTCCCATTAAGGTGCGATCAATAACATTGATGATATTGTCTAATAAAATGTGTTTTGGAAAGCCTACGAAACACATTGTCAAAACGATAGCTACAACAGCGTCAATGTAGTTATCATGAAATGAATAACATCTGTTTGTAAAGGTTCATAATTAGATATTTCTTAGGCGTTCAGGAAAGTTATAATTTGTCAAGAAGATTTGTATGGCTTTAGTTTGTGTTTAGCATTCTACCAACAGAAACATATTACAGATTTCTCTAATGCTCATTTATCTGTATGTTTGCTAAACCAAAAAGTCTCAGTGCTTCTTCTTGAGGATGTATAGGCATTTTCTTAGTCCTTGGCAGCTTTAAGAAAGAAACGAGTCTAGGGTCATTAAAGAGCTAGCTAAGCTCTCAGTTTCTATTTCTGTTAAGACAGCTAGGAAAAGGAGAACAGTGACATCATGGAGGATGAAACTGCCGGTAAAAAATCCTCCTACACGATAGTGTTAAGCAGGTGGATCTGGAGTTAGTTTTGGTGAGTTTTAGTTAATGATGGATAGGAGTGAAATAAAGTTCAGCAAAGTTCATTCTTGACCCATCTCAGATGTGAAGGTATCTGCCTGGCTGCGTGTCATTTTAGCCATCTGTTGGCTGTAACAAGAGACCCCAACGTGAAGTGCAACACTTGTTACATCATGCGGGTATGCGACATTCCCTGCCTAAGTTTGTTCCTTAAGCTCATTATGTCGTGCAGTGAGAAATACACACGGTCTGCAAGAAACTTTCTTCAACATTGTTCATGCTTTTTAAAGAAAAAATATAACTATCACCCACTGGCCAGCAGGTACTAATTTAAAAAGAAACAGGAATTTTCCACAGCAGCAAGCTCAAAAAACACAGGGAAATTCCTTCAGTATCATTGTTTAAAACTTTAGATAAAACTCGGCATAGTTTTCTGTTTCTCTTGTCAACAGCTCATATAGTCATGAACTATTCTTAAACTTCTTTTCTGTCAGGATCACTTCTAAAGACGAAAGCAAGATCCTTGCTTGTTTTCTGGACAGCATCTGGGTGAAATACTCAGCAAGCGTGAATTTCTATTGCTATAATAAGGTCACGGGGGCTGTATCTGCTTAAAATAATCCACCTCCTATTCCTGCCTTGACTTATTCTACACCTTCCCTGTTGCAACTCTGTAGTATTTCATTATAAAAGAAACTGTCATGAGGGCATCACCAAAGAAAAAATACCGACAATAATGGGAATAAAAGTTAGTGGTGGAATTAAAAAATTATGTCTTCCCCATAGGAAATAACTTCCTCTCCTTGGGAATTGAACACATACAATCCTATGACTGCCCATCAGGAGCCTCTTGTTTTACTCTTGCCAAATAGTTCAGTTTACCTTTCCTTTGCGTGTCTACCGTACCTTCAGATTTGACGTCGAATGACAAAGCTCATCAAGATCTAGCTTACAGGAAGTACAGAAATGGACTTTAAAAAACAAGAGTGAGAGCCTAAGCTCAATTACTCGGCTTGTTTTTTTGACTTTCTTAAGCGCTCTAGAAGAGATCGGGAGAGGACCGCCTTCAGCAGAAGGTGGACAGATAATCCATCAGGGAAGCAGAAGCGATTCCACAGAGCACCCGGAAGCACGGAGCAGGTCACAGCTGGACCATCAGTTGTATATACAAGATATAGAGTTACAGACTTGGGTGGAGGGGGGAGCACACAAGTCAGTCACGCATCTGGATCGAGGGCATAAGCGATGTGAAAAATTACCCGTAAGTAAACAAAAGAGACACCACATCAAAGAGCTGCGGTTACAGCACAAGCGCTTGAGAGTTAAGGATGAGATTGGATCCTTTAGATGTACGGCCATTTTCCCGTTCTGTTGCTGAGGGTTTCAAATTTGACGGCAATCCCATTAGCTTAATTAGAAGACGATGCCTTGTCTAAACTCGCATAAAATTCACAGCACCTCCGATGTCTGCGGCGAGGCGCTGGGAGGGGGCAATTCAAAGGTCAGATCCGTCAAACGGCAGCCTACTAACGGCAGCCC